ATATTAAAGTAATAGATACACTTCTTCCAGATCTCACGACCTATGTGGACCGAAAGGGATTTTTTCGCCTTAGTAAGTTTTGCAGCAGTGACAACTGTTTTTTTTTTGGTCAATCCAAAGCTTTTGAATAAACCCTAGACTCTTCTAGGTTATATCACCGTGCATATTGGAAAGAGGGATGGAGGGAGAAATGGAATAGTGGTTGGATCATATTATGCAGTAATTCGGCACCTCATTCCGAATATCTCCACAAGCCGCTAACTATAAGTATACGGAAAATGTAAAAAATAATTCTTAGCAGCACAATATTTTTCTAACTCTTTCAGACTACTCTCATTCTAATGACTGCCCAGTTAATTATTACATAACTAGTAGAAGCCAAAAAAGTTAAAATAGAAAATCACACATCACCACCAAGACCAACAACTCACTTCACTCATCGTGGAAGAAAACCCCCACATTGAATGTGAAAGAAGTGCGTCACTGTGATTTAACCAGAAATGCGGCACTAGAGATGCAAAATGTCTATGGTACTGACAAAAAAGGTGCGCCACGCACCAACTGGTACCAGTCACACCCAGGCGGTCTTCACGCAAGGCGTTCATTAGGCCATTCATTCATCCTATTCACCGAAAATGATTGAGAATAACTGATTCACAAAGTTTTTAAAGTCTTAAACTACTGGCTAAATTATTCATCTATTTCGAGGAAAATCGAATACTTTTTCAAATATGTCAAAAAAACGGCCAAGATGTGACATAACGGGTGAACGCTTTCAGAAAAAATCATCTACTGCATACGTCTAAATACGTCCTAAGATGTGCCTAGACCTTCTAGACATAGAATATCATCATTTGCATACTCAGACACTTGAAGTCTGTTTTCTTTTCTTCGGGATGAAGGAAAGCCGCCATTCTTTTGTAATTTCTTGCGAAGAGCACGATCGAAATCCATAATTCTTGGCCTTAAGCAAGTGCTAGTGTGAAACCAGTGTGTCGTAATCTATGGAGTATTAGACATCTAGTTGCCATTTCGTGTCATTTTATGAACAGTGTGCCTTTTTTTCAAGTGTTCGCCATCAAATCGAAGGTTTCTGGATTTTTAAAGTGAGACTTCGTTCAAAATACCATACTACAAAGCACGGCTTTTCGTTGCGTATTTTGCATAAGGCTTGAGAAAGTTTTGTAGAGATACCTATTTGCTTTATTTCAGGCGAGTGCCGAAGTGAAAATGATGTGGGTAATCACGAGCATAGTGCTGGCTCGACCACGCATCAGGGCCCACCAATCACTCCCATCCTTCTGGAGTTGGTAAATTGGTACCAGACTTGTCTGGAATCAACCTAGTTTATCCAATTCACCTGGGACGCCCGATCACAGTTAACCTGGGATTTCAATCAAAGTCTGACTGGAGCTGCACTTAATGACATTCATAAAGAAAACGAAAACCTTCAAATAGGAGCGAAAACTCATACACAAGAAGTTCGAAGACCTTCGTGGACAATGAATTCCAGGGAAAGAGCTGTGTTCAGAAAATGCTGTATAGCACACAACATTAGATATCGGACCATGCAAAAAAATTGGTTGTGGGGTAATCGATGTTGCGACGAAACCGTGAAGAGGAAGCGGGTAGGGGCATATACCGGATTTTCCGTAGGCCCTACGCTGCTCGTGCGCTTCATCCTCATATGCTAGACTATGCCTTTTGCTAAGTATGATATTATTGAAGAGATGACGCTTCATTGGGCATATTTCTGAAGCACCTGCTGAGCAATACCAATTTCTTAATTAAAACTGAGGTCACAGTTTGTGTTTTTCCAATGACACATCTTCATAGTGAAGAGGCTTCAAGAATGGAGAAAACTTGTGTAAAAGTTGGTATTTAACTCTAGAGATCGATGGACTTGGCGTATACACCAGATAAAAAGATCTAAAAGCTTATTAGACTGGATACTGTTGTGTAATCTGGCGTATGACAGTGGTTCATCTCATCCACTGTACTTTCTATTTGTAAAACTGTCTCTGTGGGAATCTCTTCAAAATTGGATTGAATGCATCCACAATACTTTAACAGCTCAATAACAACTAAAACGCGACACTCATTCCAGATTAAATAGTTTTATACAGGCTTCCCTTCATGAACAGCTGTTACGGAGACTATTCTACGGCTGCACATTGCTTTGAATAACACTCTAGTCATTGTGCTACGGAACTACTCTTGCCTGAGGCACAAACTGCGACTCTTCAGTATGTTGGCAGATTCTGCAAAATATTTTTTAGCACCTGATTCAGCTCAGCGTCTGCTTCTGTATGCAACCAAACCTGATATATCGGTTGTGTAATTTTCAAAAACATTCTTCCATTCCAAGGTGATTTTCGCGTGAGGATCTCTTATCGTCACATTCATGTTAATGTCGCTAGTTTCTGAGTTCCATATTATGTTGTGAAAAAATCACAACTCCATTTGGCAACAGACATGGGCGAACTGCTCGATAGCATGAACCTTGACCTGCAAGGTTGGTTAACCTGCGCAGTTAAATTGCCTGTAAATTCTTTTGATCAGTTAAAGTACCACCATATCATGGAGTCCAAAAAGAATGAGACCTCTATGGCGACAGCTCTTCACAACCTTTCAGCTGCGCTGACATTTTCTGACTGGTCAAGATATTCTTCCTGTAGACTCTGAACATATGCACCTGCGTCCAGGGGATCACACCCGCCCTCCCTCTCAAGAGTTACCGCATTTTGGCATCATATTTCTTTTAAGACGGCCGACTTTGTCTATGTTGGTGGAGCTTTAGATGGACTTTCAAGTGGAAATGCCGACTTCTTAAGAAGTTTGGAAAGTTTTTTGGTCAAGTACCTAATAATACACTTTACCATATTTAGCGCCTTAGAAACTGTAGTATGATGGTCCAGTAAACCAAGTTGTACCTGTTAACTATAGGATGCTCGTGAAGTGCGATTGTTCCGCAGGATACTTCCCGAGTTCAATCGAAGGTCCACTTCCTGCAATGGAAGCTATTAAGAAATTGATTATTGAGGATTCGTTTTCAAAAATTTGCTGAGAAACAGACATTTATACTCGATAGGGCGAAATGTGGTCGATCTCCACCGTGGCATGGTATTCCTAGGCATCGTACGCAAAATACATTCGCTAATTTGATCTCCAACGGGCGCATGTGGCGCAGTGGTCGGAGGCGCCCTGCAACACACGCGTGGAATCGATACCCTTGCTCATGGCCCACCAAACCTTCCATCCCTCCGGGGTCGGCAAATTGGTATCAGACCTTTCTCGGAGGATAACACCAGTAGCTCGATACATCGGTAGGCCACAGCGCGTCATTGTAAAGGCCAGATATGCATTCAATCACCTCCAAGGATACTCGATGAAGTCGAATGCATGGCGCATCCCTCAGGGATTGATCAACGCCGAGAGCTTTATCATTTATCCTTTTAATTTGATCCTCTAGGTGCAAATTGGCAAAATGAAACTGACTACTATTGACGAGTGCCCTGTGATGGCAATTCGATCTCTAAGCAAGGATGCAAAAAAAAAGGCATTTAACAAGAAGAGCGTCTGAGGCACAATCACTGACGGTTGATCGCGTGTAGCACTTCATAAACATTCATTCGCTATAATGGGTAAACTTGTCATAAATTTCAAACAACGAACAAAGCAGAACTCAGTGAGTGCTCAAATACCACTAAACCACGTACTGAAACTCACCGAATAGCCACCACCACCGAGTGACCTCACTTTCCCGAGAGAGATCATTCAGTGCTCGTGATGAACAAATTTTCAAGACGCGAGCTATGTGGTGCATGGATACTACCTTTGAAATCACATCCATACAGATCACCCATGTACTCTTCGGTCACGAAGTGAATAATTCCCTTACATGCAACCAATCCGCGGAAGTATAAGTTTGGTAGTGAATACAACCAGTTGTTTATGGTCTTGACCTCTGGATAAAACCGGGAGTCAGACTACAATACTAAATAGGTTCAATCTCTTACCATTACAGCGAAATCTCCTAACCAAGTTCGCAAATGAGTGAGTAGTTACAACCACATCTTGCCAAAATCAAACCAAGAATTCAGAGAGTATAAAATACCTCCTACATGGCATATTAGCACTGCAGTGTAAACTGTACCGAACCACGCACAATCCTGCGTGAAACCGCACCGTCCAAAATTATGAAGCACCGTCAACCCAACGTACTCGCCCATATAAGCGCTACTGACTAATCCTTTTTCGAGGATAATACTGGATTTCTCGTAGTTGTTCAACTAATCAAATCACTTTATTGCTAGAACAATATCAGCGCGTCTAACATAATTTGGCAACTTCCAATTATGTTGCCTGTAGTGATACAACAACAAAGCAGTGGTGACCACGAATATAGGTGAAGATAATTATTCCTTAACCAACGAATACAGTATTGGTTAACGTGGCCCAATTTTTGAGAACACAGAGCTGAGGAGGAAATGATACAGAAGTGTTAGAAATAAAAAAGGTAGTCAAACATAAACAGATATAAAGTAGACGCACTTAGAAGATTAAAATAACTGCATCAGTTTCGGCTTACAATTATATTAATAAGCAAGAAAGAGATACAATTGTGCATCAACTGAAATGTAAAATCTCTAGCACATATGTTGGTCGATGACAACACATCTTGTTACTTTCGACTTAAGATCGAAAACAACATAAGTTCCTAACATAGTTAACATAAAATCAATTCTATCGAGAAAACAACATTCACAATGATCCACTGCAAAATATGAAAGATTTATAGGAAATGAATTGTATGTTACGCAATGATGCAAGAAGTAGCGTTGGCTAGACACTGCAACATGGAACGCGACGACCGTGAAGGTAAGGGCCTAGACCACCGTGTAGGCGCGCAGAGCGGGACGAAGGACGGCGGTCGACCGCAATGGCACGCAGCGACGATGTAAAACAGTGTCAAGCCCGACGACACTCACCTCACACCTTTACGCAAAATACATAACGTTGTTTGCATCCGGATGCACCTGAATTCGAGCAATGTAATAGGTATCGAATTTATTGATTTCACTAAGCATTTCACAACCAATATTTTATACAGAAGTCCAGGTATAAAACATGATTTTGGGAGATAGATTGCAAAAATTCATAAGTTCGAAAGAGTTCGTAAGTTTAGTAAACTAAGAAAGGCTTAGTGAAAAAAAACAAGTAGTAGCAGATGATGGTTAAAACCTCCAAAATCACACACCTGCACGGCCCTGGCCATGTTTGACAGTGTAGTGTCTTCTGAAGTGCCCGATGGTTGACTACCTTCACCTGAGTCGTGTTCCCGGTCTACAAGATGGTAACGAGCTCGAAAAGCAACCAAATGGGCATAGTACGCTGGCGCAGGGATCGAGACAGAACGTGTGCAACGCACGTATGTGTGGCACATCTGAATAAATGCCTCTGTAAAAAGCAAATTAACACTTACGCTGAAAGAGAGAACTAATCATACTTGGTATGTAAGCTGCTGCAGTTCGTCAGCTGTTAGTTCATTATCATCCCACAAAACATGGTAATGAGACGGTCGCGACGTTCCTTGGATACCAGCATGCGAGCAAAGATAGAAATCGAATTCTGTTGGATGTGTAATACCTACATCAACTGTTGTTCCCGGAGGAATGTTGAAAGCCTTGCCAACTTGATCCTAAAGAACGACATTTTTTTCACTACTTAATTGATCCCCTTCCAACGGTTTACCGCTTCATCGTGGCTGGGAGGTATTCCTGGATGTCAGACTGCGATGTACAGCGGGGATTCATCCCCTGGTAGGGTCCCCCAACTGAGGAGTTCGGCGGTTCCATCAGGAAACCTAGTTAAGAGTAAAACAATACCAGAATCCACCACCGTCCTGGTATTAAAGTCGCATGGTGGTAAATCTCCCTCTGATCCAAAAGGGCTGCGACTGCCTGTGGTGGTGAAGACCTGGAGCAGACTTTCGCCAGGCTGACCTCAGGACTCCAGGGAACCATAATGGCTTAACTAGCAAGTATCCGAAAAATGGAGATTATGCTGGGAGCCGCACAACCAGTGAAGACGAGCTATTCAAGTATCAAGTAAGTATTAATTGATCCACAGCAGTAATACCTACCTTTTTATCAACGGCAAAAAGTCGTGTATGATGTCGTTTTTGCACGGCAATGAAAGTGATTCCGGGTTGATATCCACTCTCTAGCATCATGCAAGCTTCACGCATAGCACGCAGCTCGTATTGCAGAACCTGAAATTGCTTAAATCATTACATATAGAATTAGACCACATACTTTTTAGAGCTCACGTTGAAAAATTGCCCTTCTGACACTCCATCCCTGTATACAACGATACGCGTGGGTTTAAACCGTGTGTTGCGATAGAACTGTACTAACAGCTCTCTAACCATATAAGTAAGATCAGAGATGATCTCCTGACGGTGTTGTTGCACTCGAACAGTGGCTGCATACCTAGGTAAGAGAATATGGTAGCAGCACATAGTCCTCATAGAGTTTACAAATGAAAAACAAAAACGGTGGCAAACTTCTATTCTCAACTAGAAGTAAAATTCTTGCCAATGATGATAAGTACATCGTTTGAAGCTCTACGAAAACTCGAGTAAATATCCCTTTAAAAAAAATTCAACAGATGAGTAGAATATTCACCTGCTAGGGTGTGCATCCATACTGGCAACAACAGCTGCAATTGATGGCTTACGAGAATCACCGGCAGGAGGATGTGTAATATCACAACCAAAGAAGATCACTGAAGATTATTCCATTCTTCGTTGTTTTTTACAGACGTCAACAACAACCTTCTATCTTTCACAATAGTAGCAAACTCACCAGGTTCGTTGAAAATCCGAGGGCGTACTGCAGGGAGCAAAATGCTGTTTACTCCTCCCAGTTTCACATTCATCTTCAAGCAAAGATTCGACAGGGTCTGTGGCGTAGTTTTGATGACGTTTTTCGCCTGCACGCATTGTGTAGCAATCCCCAATACGGTGTCTCCAACTCGCTTTACCTCGGCTGAAAACCATGCATTAGGATTCAAAAAGATCAAGGCGTACACAAGTTCTTCCCTCAAAGAAAAAATGTATTAGAACAATACCGTATACTGGGGTTTTACCCGGTAGAATAACGACAACAAGCTGGATACCCGAAAATGACTGCTTCAGATATTTGAACATCGGTTCCACTTGGTCTACACCCATCGCGTACCTTAACACGAGAATACAATATGCGAACTTTAATTTAAAAACTTTCGAAATATCAAAGTACCGCTAATGTTATGAAACAAAGTAATAGTCAACAGAAAAGATTACACATCGTAATCTCCACAATCATTCTGCGCCTCCATAATTACAAGGTTTAACTGAAACTCACTTGCAGAAGCATGGCTGACCTACTATAGGCATACCGGCGTCGTTTGAGATACGTTGCAATTGAGCAGTAAAGTTGCGCAAATCGTTCTCTTTTACATGCTGTTGCTGCGCAAAACAGGCTATCGCCCAAACCTTAAGACAATCACCTCAGAAAAACGACAATAACTCAGTGGAGTGGGTCTAGTCTCACCTTGACATCAATCCCGGTGTGAAACTGTTTTCCACGCATATCCCAAACACCTTGATTTGGTAAAGCGGTCGCTTTATTTCGACCACCATACTGAAGTTTTGGAGCTGACAAAACACGACCCTTCACCTCTGTCATAGCTGAGTTGATCGCAATACCGAACTCATGAGCGAATGGATCTGCAGAAAACTCAGCCTTCCTAACAAGGCTGGCAATTTCGCGTTCTCGTTCGGGTGCGGAACGTGCGGTAGCCTAAAACAAAACTAGATCCAATACCACAATACCACAAGATGTAACGAAATTGTAGTTTCTACCTTGATCATCGTTGACGTTTGCGTATCAGTTAACTTTTTAATGCAACGCTGTCCGGGTACTACGTGACAAACTTCCGGTGGCAGATATGTATGCTTTTGTTCTTGTCCAACCTGAAAGGAGCAAATATCAGGCAAATGCAACGTAAGTAGGTGTTACAAATAGAAACATTTGAAAACAAGCGACCTACCTGAAGACACGGCAGATGCGGATACTTCAGTTGAATACGATATTTGTCATAAAAATATTTCGCCACAGTGCACTCTATTGTTTGACCTGTTTCCAGTTGTAGAGGGAAGCTTAAAGGTACCGCAACTATTAATTGGGAAACTTACATAACAAATCAACAAAGTCAGGAGGTTAGAAAGTAAAATTTACAAAGTCAAAAAACTAGAAAGTAAATGAGATGTTTGATTTGGAATCAACTAGGAATTGACAGCGTTAATAAAAAATTCCACTTTCGTTCCCAATGGTTAAACATTTCTTTAGAAGCATAAAGTAATACTTTTCCATATCCGTAAGTCTGGTAACATGCTAATTCTGTCTTATAAAAAATGAGCAGAGAAAGTTGAACTTGTGAAGCCCAGAAGTTAGCTCACGTCTGGGTTTGAGCAGGTCTCCTCGTAACGTTGCAAACGCGATATTTACGCCGCATCTGACCACAATGGGTGATTTCAATTTTAAGTCCGCGAATCTCCTTCGTGAATTTTACACGTTGAGCATCCGATAAAGCGCGACGTTCTGTGAGTGCCTGAGTAAACGCATCATCAACAACACTGTTCTATTGTTCCAGTTGGCACAGACCACAGAATAAATAACAGAAAAGTAGGACTAAAAGAAACAATCTAGGCAGTACCTGAACTGGTAATTCTAAAACTTCAGCCACAAATTCTATTACTGGCATAGACCGATAGAACGCAGTAGCAGACACTGAAAGAGAAATCGAGGATTACATTGCGCTTGTAAAGTTAAACAAATTGTAGTTCAAATAATGACTAATCAATAAAACATTCTTTAGCATTCTGGAGAACTAACCATCAATATTTAGCATCATTTTCCACTGCGAGGGCCGAACAGATTGATGAAAACCGAACCAGACTTCGCGACCTCCACCTAATTTACTTTCCATATGGTACTGCCCATGTTGCTGAGGCGGCTGATGAGCTTGCGCCGGTGGAGAAAAGAATGAACGACCCACAGGTGTGTATCTACAAAAAATATTAACGTACGAAATATTGTAAGCACACATTACCAATTGAGTTAGACCAGAAAAAGTTAACAAATCAAGAAATGGAGGAAAGCAAACTATGTTACCTAGATCACAGAAAATGCAACTCACTTAAGACTGGGAAGATGTCTGAGAATCACATCCATCGCCTGGACGGCTTCAAATGGAACCTGGCGCACACGGCCCTCCATAGCATCTTCCAATGTTGATAACGAAACTTGTCCAGCCCACTTAACAGTGACGGTGAATTGACGCTCCACTGCTGAATCTCCAGGAAGAGTCACCTAGAACAATAACTATAATGCAGACGCAGTGCAAGTTTAACTGCGAAGTTCAGAAATTTTACAAGATTTCACGCTACGTGTATCGAAAAAGAGATAACTAAATACCTCAAACTCCATTTTCTCCCTACCAATTGGCAGCGGTTCGCGTGTATACATGTTTCTTTTCCCATCATAAACAGGCCTACTCGAACTGAAGTATTTTCCAAACGAGCGTATCATGCAAAGGATGATTTCCCTGGAAAACACTCCTGCATTGAGAATATGAACTAAGAACGATAAAGATAATAAAACAAAAAAAAACCACAACGTTGCTGAGATATTTGCAAAACTCTGGACCGCAGCCGCAGCTTAACTGGGTTCTATGCCGATTTGGGCGCCCCAGATCAATGCCGCTGACGGGTAATTGCTGTGGCAAAGATCGACAGAAATAGCTGAGATACAGGCGAAACAAAGGACCCGCATGGTGTGGTGGTGAACGCGTTACGCCCCGGAAAGGACAATAGCGCGTTCGCTTCCCACCATAGACACATGCGGTCCACAGTTTTGAAAATATCTCAGCAACGTTGTGGTTGTATAACGCTTAGTACCCTGCCGCGAAATTATAGTAGGCAGAAAATAAAAAGGTACAACATTAAAAAAAAACATTGGAAACAGTCAACTTCACATTGGGACAACTAACATATGGCGAAATTACCAAGAATCGCTAACCGGTTCACTCGACGAGGACATTTATCAGGTGAAACATCAACATGGTAATGCTGAATTGTCCCGCCAGGCATGCGCACTGCGAAATGGTTTGCTCGAAGCAGTATCGAACGCCCTTCAAGACCATGATTAGGCCTACGAGGACACTGGAACTGAACTCCACCGGAAAGCCTGGAAAAAGCGAATGTGATATAAAACGCTAAGGAAAACATCGAAAGCATTACTTTAGTACTCAAATGTTTTGAGTTGCCATATTGAAGCAGCGGAAATAACAACTCTTACACTGGTAATCCACTTCCACTTGACGTTATGGCACCTTGTTGTTGTGCTCCACCACCCGCTTGAGACGGATCCGTCTGGCCTGGCGGTACTCCTATAGGAGCACCTGGTGCCAAACTACCACCTTGACGTGATGGTGCGTCGGAGTAAGACAATACACCTGATCCAGACAACATTGATGTTGTTGTTTGAGCGACGGAGAACATATCCTAAAGTATGCATACAATACCACGTTGCTAAAAACATTAATGAAGAGAGGAATGACAACATTTCGTCTGAAAAATTGTTCTGCGCGAGAACAACATATTACAACAGATCTATAAGATATCTAACAGCCATAGCAAATTACAATATGCACCACAAAACCAAAAAATTTCAAAATCTCAAAACGAAGTTATAATGTTGAGTAATGTACGAGATCTCTGTGAAGAAAGCTGCACCTATACTGCGAAACTACTGGTTCACTCATGTTAGACAACAAAATTGGCCTTCCCAACTTTTAAACTTCTTTCAACGATTCCTATCAAGCCGTATACCTCTATAGTGCGAATAAAAAACGAGGTACAAATTAATTTTGTTTAGTGTCACTTCAGAATTTTTCGCGAATCAATCCGGAATTTTCACAAACTTAACCCTTTTATTTACTGCCTTTTTCTTTTTAATGGCAGGGTATGTTGCGAAATATAACTCATATATAATGCTGAGATATTTGCAAAACTCCGGTCCGCAGGTGTATGTGGTGGGGAGCTTTGCAAATATCTCAGCATTATATACGAATTACATTCCGGAATTGTTTAAAATATTATTGGAAAAGACAATGATTTAAAACGTTTCCACAGATCTGAAGGATAAAACAGAAAACAACGATTTCTGTATTGATTGATATAGGGGGATGCAGTGGACTAACGACATTGAACAAAAAAACAAAATCTACGTGATTACGGACGAGTTAGTGTGAGCAACATCCATCCAGTTTTTTTCAATACCTATTTTTTCTTAACGAAAATTTCTCTGTGCATCAAAATTAAGGGTTGTGAACGTATGACCTACCAAGTGACAAACAAAATACACCAGTTCATACTGAGTGAGTCTAATGAAAAATAGCAAAAATAGACAAATACAATGGAAACAATGAAGTTGCCAGTTCCCAGGATCAACTCTCTATTAAGGATTATAAAATAATGAGGTTTATAAGTAAGTATAGGTATATAAGTAAGTGTAAGTTTGAAAAAGTATGGATATAAGAAATCTCTCAACTAACTTGAAGCGATGGTTGTTGGGCATGATGTGTGGCGAACGGTGGACCAGCCATAAACGGACCAGGCATTCCAGGAATATGGCCACCCAGAATACCAGGCATGTACTGCTGCGGTTGAGGTGCATTGTTACCACCACCTCCACCACCAGTTCCCAGTATATTCACTGGTTCGTTGAATGAAAAACTATCTAAAAAGATAAATAACCTAGCATAACTGAGGTGAATATAATCTATGAATGCAATGTGGAATGGCTCGCCATCTATAGGGGATTCGCAAAAAAAAAACCACAATGGCGACCACTTCGCGATTAACAAAAAACTATCATAAAATTCGTATATAATGCTGAGATATTTGCAAAACTCCGGACCGCAGGTGTATGCGGTGGGAAACGAACGCACGCTGTTGTCCTTACCGGGGAGCAGCGCACTTCACCACCACTACCATCACTATATACGAGTTATATTTCGCAACATACCCTGCCATTAAAAAGAAAAAGGCAGTGAATAAAAGGGTTAAGATTATCATAAAATTCCTCTATTCAACAAAGGAAGAAAAGTGAGTGATAAACAGCAAAACATGGATACCGAGTAATTAAACTGACCTAGCATACTCATGACCTGCTGTTGCTGCTGCTGATCAATTCCAGCGGCCATTATGATTATGTGAAAGAGCGCAGCAAGACGAAGGCGCAAAAAAGTGAGCACACGACGAAAAGAGGTACAAATGTACTGACCTTAAATCTCTTTATTCAAATGAAAGAAAAAAAAGAACCAGTGGCAGAAGCACAAATCTAGCCCACCTATTTACTAGATAGGCAGATGAGATCGGTGTCGATGGGAGAGAGGATGTATATCCTATTCCCGAGTCGACAAATTATCACAGAAATGTTTTAGACGATTAACACACACACAGTTGCTGGTGTCAGTACATCGCCAAAACCAACTCCTCTGAATATTGATTATATCAATTAGTAAAAAAATCCATATCCATCATTTTATGAACATATCGGAGAACTGTGAAAAACACAGCTCAACAATGCAGTACAAAAACCCATCAATATACGACATCAATAAACGATCAAGTCCTTTGATGATAATATGAATATCAATACGAATCTGTCCCACATTTCAGCATCGGTTTCCCAGAACTCCCTAAGTGATTAAAGTAAAACGGTGGAGAAAGCACTATTCCGAATGAAAAGTAAAGAGACTGTTTAGTTTCAACTTTGCTGCTTGGCCCATGACACTGGACTAAGCAGCAAGGATGAAACCAAACAATCACATAAAGATGTTTCCACGTCGAAACCAAGTAAGTCCAAGTTTTCTGAATGTTAGCACAGCCATTCTTGTCTAAAATATACTACAAATAATTGCGGAAATGAAGTAGAACTTCAGCATAAAACACAATGCACTTTGAGTTCAAGCTAGCCAAAGTCAATCACTTCCGGCCACTGCTGTATTATGAAAGTGAACAGACTACGTACCACCTGATACCATCTTTTCTACGAAAATCCCGACTGTATAATCGCCGTTTGAGATACGAGCTCTCGTGGACTCCACAAAAAAGAAAAGAAAACAAAAAGAAGAAGAAGAAGAAAAGTTGTGGTTGGCAAAGATCTAGAAATTGTAAATGTTCCTACTGTAATTAACAAAGTTCATTACTACGTAACACCACGATTTAAACATGAAAGTGGCCATTGTTCCTCCTCATCATGCACTAGTCAGGGCATGTGAGCGTAATACTTTAATAAAACTTATTAGGACGACATTTAGATGAAACTCGTTGCAAAATCAGAAAAAATTAAAAAAAAACGTAAAATTCTATCCCCACGATCCCAAGTAATGCCTATTACAATTTCTATTATCCATGCTATCCGAAAAAATCAATGATTGAAACCCCGCAAACCTCAACATTTAATAAATGTTTTGTCGTTTTGTCGATTTAAACCTACATCTACAAGACTAAAAAATTCTTGCTCACCAACATTTAACTCTACACATTTACATACCACCTGATACCATCGCAAAACTCTAGAGGCACTCTGGATTAATTCCAAGAATCCGAAAATGAACCGCAGGGAAGAATGCCTCATTATCACGCGTGATTATGGACAGTATATAAACCTGTTATTCTCATGGGAGGGGCACATTACGCTTCCATGTGAACTCTGAGTGGTTGGTCTCCACGTGACATATTTTGTGGAAGACTCATAGAAATCGGTGAGTGTACAAAGACTCTGTGTTCAATGTGATTGAAATCTCGGTTCAGCATTTTCTCTGTTTGGTTATGGAGGTGTTTGGCCGAATAAATTTCTGTCAACTCGACCTCTCCAAGCTCTGAGGAAGGCGAAAACCGCCGAAACGTCAGCTTGTACGTAAATAGATGAAATAGCACCTCATGTTTGCTGAACAGAAGTAGAAAGAATTATTCCATCAATGCCGATGTTAATAGAAAGTCGGACTTCGGAGTTTCTACACATTTTATCTACTCCAAGACGAATAGTTAATAGGATACCAATGTGTCCGCATCCGTTCCTCTCATAAAGCACGAACATCAGCGAACAAATACCACTGATCGAAAGCAGTACTTCAATAACTGAGATCGATACATCCGTGCAACAGCAAATCCCAAAAGTCAAAGTTTTTTTTTCCAACCGATACCACCATGAAGTTTGGATCTCTTAGAAAAGAACCTAAAGCTTTATTTAAACTTCACATAGTCCACATCCCCACTTGAATTATTTCCCTTCCGAACTGCTGAATTTTGCCCTTATAAAGAAAAACCCCATCACTTCTTGATTTTCCTATCTAACTAAGAGGAAGTAGCGATTTTGATCGATCGCAAAATCTTCAGCATATTTAACAAAACCTTTCCTCTTAAATGTCGAGGTCTAGAAACTAATGATATCATAGTACACGGAGAAACTGCTTTCCTAGAGTCAGACTGAACCCGTACAGTGTTAGCTTTCGACATGGCCTGGTGTAGAACTAGTACCTACAAGGACCAAGCACCGCCACAAGGGTATATATCAAGCCTACAAAGGTAGACAGATTTCCTAAAGAAAATCGGTGCATAAAAATGTTCACTTAGATGTGTTCCTATATACCGAGAAGTAAAAGACTAAACTCCCAAGCATTCAGTCCGTGAATTCCGCAATCAGCGCTGCCACACAGTTCCATTTTGGAACACTGCTCGATTCGTTCTATTACTGAGAAACATCATCACTTTGGAAAGTTTTCAAACGATTGAAAGCTTCAAGAAGAAAGAAAGAAGAAAGGGAAAAAAATGAAACATGTACCTTCTTCGAATGGCATGTTCCAGGAGTCGACGTTGATCGAAGAAATTACGAAACAAAACGAAATCTAGATTAGAATGGAAACAGAAAACTCAATAGAAAAAATGGGTATTGATCACACCTTACCCAAGAAAGCTTAGATTATCAACACTGCATTGTATCCTATGTAAATACACTAAACTGTAAACATGAAACTAAAGAGGGCCCTTAGGCTGCAAAGTACTTGTAATCAATAAAAGCAGCAAACCTGAATCACCTGAAGAGGAAAACGGAAACATATTCAGTCGGAAGCGCACCAGAGTGCAAAAATGCATTTATCGATCGATGAATAAAACAAACGCCTTCTGTGTGACGCGCGACGAAACCAGGTGGCGCTCGTCAACCACCCCGCGACGCGGCATCGTGCCGGGACCATATGATCTCGTATAAAGTGCAACCTTTAAACGCCGTATCCTCCAAATAAGTGTTGTCTAGCTGACATTTGGTGTCCACTGTTTGTTGCTTACTTGGATACTTGGGTGGTCCGTCGTCACTTGTTGTGCGAGCCCCAGCACAATTTCCATTCTTCGGAGTTTTGCCGATCCAACCACTGTGTTTCCCCGGAGTCCCGAGGTTAGCCTGG